TGGTTACATCAACAGGATGTGGTAGAAACTGCTCCCTGGCTGGGCCTCCTAACTTATATCTTCTTAATGATTGGCAAGGGGTTTCACCAATAGAAATGCTGTTACTATGCTGATGCCATCTTACTTTATGCCATTTGGAATACCTGTATATAAGGCAATAAACGCTGCGAAGGCAGTCAGCCATATTTGCACCCTGCAATGACTGAGCACTGATTACTACAATTCCAAAAGCTCTAATGATGGTGGTTGGAAGCCCATAAACATGATAATCACAAATGATCACATTTGAAGATATTTCTTTTCTATAACAGGAAGGAAGATAAAGAAAAACCTGGTTTTTTTTCGTTCATGTGATGGTTCAGTCCAAAGAAATCATTTTTAGTATTTGACTAAACAGAAATGGGTAATATACATGCTTACTTCTCACTGAAAGTAGTGCAATATGGAATTGGTTGAAGTTGGCAGAATGAATGATTACTATCTGTATTGCATTCCCCCCCCCCAAATGATCTGATTAGAAGCATATTCTTTCACAACAACTATTAGGCAGAACCACAAAACAGTCATGAAAATCCCTGAGATGTAGGTTGCTGTAATGTCATTACCTTTTCTCGGATTCAACTCGTTTAAATTTACTGGCCTAGATTATGCATCATATGAAGCTGTAATGTTGCCTGTATTTGTCCCAATGTGCAGTTAATTATGACTTGTTCAATAAATTATAGTTAACAAAGGAACTTTGTTAGGTTTAATCAATTTGCAGAGAAAATTCCACAATTTTGTTCCATGTTTTGTAAATATATTCCAAGCAGATCTGCATTATCATATCATTATATTTATATTTTTAGAGATAATTTTCTGAGCACATGAATTTGGCATTTTAAGATGTGTGGACTTTAACTCCCAGAATTCCCCAATCAGCCATGTTCCCCAAACATACTGGCTGGGAATTCCGGAGTTCAGATCCACATATCTTAAAAGATGCCAAGGTTGAGAAACACTGCTTATTTGATAGGCTCTCAAGTTAATCCAATTTAAAGATTTAAAAAAAGAAGAAGAAAGAACATACTTGGGTTGATGTTACTTATCAGCAGTTAAAATTCAGTCAATGTGAAATATGCTCCAAGGTTACACAAGATCACAACCTTTCTTCCTTCTGCTGAACTCCATGGCACTTTCAGTTATAGCAACTGTTTCTACATCAGCATCTGTATATATAGATTGGTGACACACATATAAATGATCATCTTAGAACCGAAGCTAGAAACAGCTGTTTATGCACTAATGTCTCTAGAAACATTTACAGAGGAATTTTATGCTGAAAAAATATATACAAGCAATATCAAAAGGGCCTTTATTCCAAAACACTTGAAGGCAGGACAAGAAGGAATGGATGGAAATTAATCAAGGAGAGAACCAGCCTAGAACCAAGGATGCATTTTCTGATAGTTAGAACAATTAATCAATGAAACGACTTGCCTTCAGAAATTGTGGATGCTCCAACACTGGAGGTTTTTAAGAAGAGATTGGACAACCATTTGTCTGAAATGGTATAGGGTTTCCTGCTTGAGCAGGGGGCTGGACTAGAAGACCACCAAGCTCCCTTCCAACTTTGTTATTATGTTAACTGGAGTACTGGAGCTTAGTAATAACAATCAACACAAGGGTCAAAGCTTAGCTTCAAGCATGAAAAATAGTCAGACTGGTACTTTGGTACCAAAGAAAATACAAACAAAATAGAAAAAGTGATTCTAATCTTCTTTCTTTTTCAACCACGGATAAAAGCCCTTGTTCTACAACAGGGGTGTCAAACTCGCAACGTCACATGATGTGTCGCGACATATCGTGACTTTTTTTGCCATTGCCTGCAATGGGGTGGGCGCGGTTTTGCTATGATGCATCCGGCCCATGGGCCAGCAGTTTGACACCCCTGTTCTAGAACAACCTTTCCCAAACTTGGAACTCTCAAAATGTTGGAATTACAGCTTCCAGGATTTCTAATCCAACATATCTGGAAGGGACAAAATATTTGGAAAGGCTGGAATATGCAACACTGTCATAAGAAATGTACATAAGAAATTAAACCAGTGATCAGTGGTTCACTATACAATGATTTGAATATTTTTCTGTAAATGCAGTTGTTTTTTCCCTTTGATGACTGTTCTCAACCTTGGCAATTTTATTCTGCGTGGATTTCAACTCCCAGAATTCCCTAGCCATCAGGCAATATCAGGAAACAAACAGATAATATCTATGCAGCAGGCATCAATAGGCTGGAAATATGTATTTGAAAAGACTGCAAAAGGTTCTACCAATTTTTAACTTCTCCAATTCACTCTAGATTTCCATCCATCCTATTTTCTCTAGCATTATGTGAAATGCTGTTTGTGTCGCCCAGAAAGTGATGTAAAATAGTATTATTAAGTGAACAAGGCTACAGTTATAAAGAAATTAGAAGAAAAATTGGTGGAAACTTAACCAAAGATAGCATTTCTAAGTTTTTGAAGAGGTATAAGAAGACTCAGTCATTACAAAACCACACTGGTAAAGGTAGGAAAAGGTGCACAACAGCATGTGATGATAGAAGAATTAAGAGACTGTGCCTACGTGACAGAAGAAAATCATCTGGGTACAAGGACTGTTCGGCGCAGACTGCAGGAATTTGGCCTAAAATCTAGAATTCCACGAAAAAAGCCACTTTTATCTCTCAAGCAAAGGTTGAAAAGACTAAACTGGGCTAAAACCCATGTTACCTGGACAGAGGAACAATGGGACAGTGTTATTTGGAGTGATGAGACCAAGATCTGCCTGTTTGGTAGTGATGGCATAAAATACGTAAGGAGAAGAATCGGAGAAGATTTGCACGCTGATTGCATTACATGTACCATGAAACACCCAATCAGTGTTATGATCTGGGGTTGTATGACATCAAAAGGTGTGGGCAGTATTTGTGTGATTAATGGGATTAATTAGATTACCTCCCATCGGCCAGTACGCTCCCACAGAGTGGGTCTCCTCAGGGTGCCGTCAGCCAGACAGTGCCGGCTGGCGGCCCCCAGGGGGAGGGCCTTCTCGGTGGGAGCTCCCACCCTATGGAATGAACTACCCCCAGAGATCAGGGTGATCCCC